GCCTTTCATTCCTTTGTTTATTGTCATTTAGACTTTATATCTCTCTTAGTCTATCGACATGTTTTTCTATAAATCTAAATACACATGGGCACAAAAAGATTGCATTTTCCTTCAGAATAATTAAAATGAGAAAGCTATATTGATATATTGCGAAAATTCACTTTTAATCCATTATCTGATGAATGGTGCTATCGATTCTTTTTAAATAGCCTCCTACAGCGGATCAACTTCAGGAGAAGAGATCGATATTGAAAATCGAGCTACAGGAACCCCTCGTGAACGATTTTTCCGACCTGGCTGCCGCCAGGTAATGTTTTACTCGTTTATTGTATCCTGCGATACATTCATTATTGTTTTATTTTGCTACACAGTTTATTTTTTATGAAATTTAATCTCAATAACCTACTGATAAAGAAAAAAATTTTTTACTTTATATTTGCATTTGGATATGCCTTCAGAGATGGTCAAGTAAGTGCGGTTACTGCTATTTTACGATTATTCCTACATCATACTGTATGAATGTATCCAGTAAGGGGTCCGATTTTGAAAGGTCATATGGACAATATGGCAGAGGATGCAGTAACATACAATCCAGAGCTTCCATCTAAGCTCTTCAAGAATGAGGGATCAAAATAGGGCTTCATTGTGGGTGCTCCATTCGAAGACTGAGTACTTATGAAGCCTTTTCCCAAAAGGCTTAGAAAGGTTCACTTTTTACTTATATCCATTGGGTGTGAAAGTAAGGCCACAGAACAAGAGTATACATTCTTGGGTTTCTCATCAGACCTATTATTCATGTTTTAGTCAAAATTATAGAGAGAAATAATTTCACCTTAATAACGAAATCTTTGTTGATGAAAATCCTCAATTTTTTCCTCTAGCTATTAGGATGTTGGATCTACCAGAGCTATAATTGATCAATCAAGGAATTTAAGGCTTACTCATCAACTTTTTCTTAATCGTAGGTATAAAGACTAAGTTGTTATGGCCTCTATTTCGATCGCAGTTTCGTTTAGATGCACATATGTGGTCTGGTCTTATTTTGCAACATTGTCGTGTTGTCATAGCGACATCGTTGGACGCATCTTGCCTGAAGTCCTCTGCTATAGTAGTTATGATAACTGCCAGTGTTGGGTCGTGGACTTACTACATCCCCATACGTTTCACCGACATCACCATTGAGTCTTACCCTTCTCAGCACCAAGCTACATCTCGTCAGACTTGTCTCGGACAAACTACCTCCAACCAGGTCGCTCTGACATTATGATGAAATTGTGAAAGCGAGATCAGACCATTCTCTCTTCTTAACCTCCAATTTTGAATAGTCTGCCAAGTAATTACTTTGCAAGTATGAAAAATTTTCAACGATCATTACAGTTACACTATAGTTGTCCAAACATAGGCATTATCTGAGTAAGATGACTTAGATCATTATAAACAATTCCTTGTTTTTAATAATTCTTTCTTTTACTTCCAAATTTTTCCGCTAAAGTTGTCCTTCTAACTTCTCAGATAAAATGTCGTTTTTATATATATTATAGATAAATTACTGCAATGGAAAATAAGTTGTAATAGTGAATATGGAATCTCTAAAACTCACCTTTATCCGTCCATTAACCCCAAAATGAACACTATTTCAGACATTCTCTTCATTTTCCTAATGGCTCCCCTATTGTAGAATTTACTTTAGAATATTACATACCCTTATTCCATATTCATGCAATTTACCCTGTGATTTAATTCTCATTCACATTTGCTTTCATCCTTTATAGTATGCTTCCTCATCCACCATAGGCCTTCTATAATGCATTCTCGCATTTGATTCTCTTGATTACTTCTTTTTGCAGAGAATTCATATTTCTCCATATGTGCTACTCCTTATTTCCACTGATAATGAGCTCACTGATCTCTGCCTGCTTCTTGGAATAGTTTTTCATTTAGTAGGGATTTCTGATCCCATAGAATTTTTCATTTTGAAATAAAATTTGGATTGATATCGTGGGAAATTCATACTTTTTTCTTTTTAAAAAAATATTGTCTACAAGCTTTAGTATTATCTGGGGACTCATCTTTGAGGGATATTTTGCCATATCATCCACTCTCTAAATGAATCTATCATTTGATATACAGTTTTGTAAAATTGTATTTCGACCCAATGCATTTAGGTAATGTGCATTTTCATCATCCATTCTGTTCAAATTTGAGGTTAATCTTTCAATAATGTTTATTTTGGCTTTAGGCTACTTCAAATGGAGGATTCTTATGTTCTGCTTATACGTATTCTATGAATCATATGCCTTCAACTAAGAAGTTATCCTAGCAAATAAAAGGGCTATAAGACTTCTTTGCTTCCAAATTATGCAAAAGGTTAAACAGTATACATATTTGTGGAACCTTTCCATGTAGGTTTTTTATAACCTTAAAACTAGCGTAGAGTTTGATTCTTGTGGTCTTGACTGTCACTGTCTTTGTTTTCTCATTTTTAATCACATCAGACTGAGATCTCAGAGGAATTTAGTCAGCAACATAAATCGACTTGTATACTCGCCACCTTGATATCCTCATTTTCAGTCCATCAGGCATCTGACAAAACGATTTAAAAGTAACTATAAATTAAAGTCCAATAACCTAGCATACGTAAAAACTGAACTGAAGTTATGCTATTAACTTTTGTGCGCATCTACTCCATCTGCTTTCACAACTGACAAAGTGAATCATGTTAAAGTTCTTGTATCTGGTGTTACATGATAAGTTAGAATCGTGCCAGACCTTGCTAAGTCTTTAATTAGCGAAGAAACAACTTTTGAATCGACAATTAAAAATAGCCACTTGACCAAATCAAACCTCATCTACACGTAACTCTTCGTGCTACCTAAATGATGACTTTTTAACGCCACTGCCAGCCATGGCTTCCTTATTTCGTATGTTTTTCTCGTTTTATTTTCGTAGGTTAACTCGCTTGGCTTTAATCAATTTTGCGTGCGATCTATTCGTCAGGCTTCCTTTGGTCGCCATGAGATTGAGATTGCCGAACAGGGTTAGATTGACATTTGTCTATAAATAAAACATTTCCCATTTTCGTTTATTTTAATTTTCTTTGCTTAAATAAACCAGCAACCCTTGCCATTAAGGCAAAATGAATACTCCAATTTATAGTGTTGGGCCAAAGTGCGATCAAACAGAAGGCCAGACCATCTTGGTCTTTATATCTAAACTCCAATTTATAACCCTGGGTATTATTCTTAGATCCTCTGTTTTATCTCCAACTTCATTCTAATCTTTATGCTTTTACGCTATTGATTATTTCCAAACTTTAAACAAATCTTTTAATGTTCTCTCTATACCCTAAACAGGGTTCGTTTTTTCCATTTTTACATATAATTAAATATAGACAGGATGGTCCAAAAGGTGTCTTACTCTGCATACGAATTGTGCTCTCTTTCTGAGATGAGTATTTCTTGTCTATATAACTACCTCTGCAAAACGGCTTACTTTGCTTAAATCTGGAGTTTTTAATTGTGGCAAGTAATGGAATAATATTTGTATTAAATGTATCATGCTTACAGTACTAGCCAGGATAGTCAATTTGCAAAGTTATAAATTCTTCTTAAGCGCAGTTAAATTGATGCTAGTGGTAGTGTCGGCTAACTGTTTTGTGCCAATGAATTTCGAACTTCATAAGTTTCGGCCTGCTAATCTGTTGAGTATCTACTCATATTTTGTCCTATCTCATCGCGAATGAAAAATTATCAGATTTCACTGCATAGGATGTCCTCTGTATGAGAGATTAAGCATGGACACATACGACTCACTACATCTGTTATATGAATGAATCTCAACAATAAATTGGCCACACTAATTGCTTTCTTGCCATTTAATTCCGCTTAAGCTAGAGTTGGAACTTGTAGATTGAGTTTAAAAAATCTTAGATAATTATCATAGATATGAAGACCAATGTGCTATGACCTTCTCTTTGGTGGCAATTTACTTTAGCTTTATAGAGTTGGCTCGACTGTTACACAACTTGTTTGGATCAAATAGGAGACCTTGTGGAACGTACCTAGTTCCGTGTCCTCTGCCATAGTATTCGTGATTTCCAGAATTCGACCATTGGCTCGGTATATTCCCAAACGTTTTGCCGGCATCGTCAGTGAGAGGCGTCATCGTAAGAACAGAGTTACAACTTGTCGAAGTGACAAGTGAAGGCTAATTTTCTGTTCAACCGTTGTGCCATCACTCCTCGCCCGTATTCTTTGTTCTATCTTCTAGTGCCGCAACTCTTTCTCTCAACACCACTTTTTGAATTATTACAAACATTATGGTATCGCTCCTTGATTTAGCAATCTAATGAGGAAGTGTCATTCGGACACAGTGAATGAAATCCTTTATCACGCTTCCATACAGAAATTAGAGGAACGTTACGAGACTGAGAGGCGTAAGCTATTTAAGTTAATAGATCTCAAGTCTAGATTAAGGAAGGATTTAGGTAGGGTTCTGGCTTTGGAGGATTTTCAAAAACTCCAGAGCATCACCGACCAGAAGTCACAGAGGGTCCGGGATCTAATAAATAAGTGACATGACAAGAAATTGTTTAGCTATGAGATAATAGGACAACGCAAGACCAAGCCAACCTGGGCAAATTATGATGGTTCTCTATTAAGGGCATCAACTGCTACAGTCGACGATAAGACACAGGTTGTAAACCTATCTTCAATCCTTCTTGATTCTGAAACTACGGATCTCTTAAAGAATGGGTTACATTTTTTACCAGGTAATGAAGGAAATGTTCTTAGTGATATCCCGGTAGAAGTTGTCAACATAACGGATAAATATCCAGAAGATACAAGGCGGGAGATGGAACTGGAAATAATCTCGCGGATCCTGACACATCAAGAATCGATAAA